ATACTTATGGCTGATTGATGTACGACAAACCAACACAATATTGTAAAGCATTTATCCTCCAATTAAAAGAAAAAATTTTTTTTTCTTTGTGATGGTTGTGGTTTAGTACATACAAATTGGTTGTGTGGTAATTGGTTGTGCAACCTCAAATTAGACATTGCACAACCAATTATTTTTTAAATATTTGCTATGAAAAGGTCAGATTGATTTGAAATATGTTTGTGTTAGCAAAAGATTACATGTCAATGAAAAGGAAATGTTAGATTCTTTTGTTGTAAGTTTTGTAATGACCATAAAAATAATTTATCAATACGAATCAAGATCTTTCCAATCAAGTGGCCAGTGACCTAGTTCACTGGTTATTCTTAGTATCACTCTGGTGGAATAACCAGGTAAGTTTCCTGATTTGCTGAAATATGAAGTAGACAATATCACTTGTGGTATAATCTATCCAGAAATATTTTACCTGAGTCTAGCAACACTTAAGATGTAAATTCCAGTTTCCAGGAAATGCAGGAGGTAGAGGAACAAGATGAATAAGAGACCCTTGGACTGCAAGGAGATCAAACCAGTCAATCCTAAAGAAAAAAATTCTGAATATTCACTGGAAGGGCTGATGCTGAAACAAGCTCCAATATTTTGGCCACCTGATGCAAAAATCCAATTCACTGGAAAAGACCCTAATGCTGGGAAAGATTGAAGGCAGGAGGAGAAGGGGATGACAGAGGATAAGATTCCATACATCAACATGAATCAGCCACATGTATACATATGTCCCCTCCCTCTTGAACCTCACTGCCATCTTCCACCCCATCCCACCCCTCTAAATTGCCACAGAGCACTGGATTGAGCTCCCTGTGTCACACAGTAAATTCCAACTGGCTATCTATTTTACTTATCAGTCATGCATTTTTAAATTGTGTGCTTTAAGTCGCTTCAATAGTGTCCAACCCTCTACAACCCTCTGGACTGTAGCCTGCCAGGCTCCTATGTCTATGAGATTCTCCAGGCAAGAATACTTGGGTGGGTTGCCATACCCTCCTCTAAAGCATCTTCCCGACCCAGGGATTGAACCCATGTCTCTTATGTCTCCTGTATTGGCAGGCAGATTCTTTACCAGCTGAGCTACAAGGGGAGCCCTATTTATCACTAGCACCACCTTAAACTATGGTGTTTCAAATGTTTTATCCAGCCTTTGTTGGTGCTCTTTAACAAGAGGATCTCTTTAAAAATCTAATCTTCTGTATGTCTAGGGATTTCCATTCACTCTTTAACTCACTGAAGTCTTACTCCCCACCAAGCTGCTTTAGCAAAAAGATCAGGATCTCTTCATTTCTAAATCTGATCAACTCTTTCCAGTCCTCATCTTAATGAACCTCTCTCTCTGTAGCATCTGGCACTGTTCAGTTGAGTTCAGTCTCAGCTGTGTCCAACTCTTTGCAACCCCACGGACTGCAGCACGCCAGGCTTCCCTGTCCATCACCAACTCCCAGAGCTTACTGAAACTCATGTCAATAGAGTCGGTGATGCCATACAACCATCTCATCCTCTGTCGTCCTCTTCTCCTCCTGCCTTCAATCATTCCCAGCATCAGGGTCTTTTTAAATGAGTCAGTTCTCAGTATCAGGTGGCCAAAGTATTGGAGTTTCAGCATCAGACCTTCCAGTGAATATTCAGGACTGATTTCCATTAGGATGGACTATTGGATCTCCTTGCAGTCCAAGGGACTCTCAAGAGTTTTCAACACCACGGTTCAGAAGCATCAATTCTTCAGTGCTCACAGCTTTTCCTTCTTTTCCTCTCTGGTCCCTACATTAGCTATTACTGCTGTCACTGTGTCCTCTCAATTTCTGTAACTGACTCCAGGGTTTTTTTCTTAAAAAATTTTTTTGTTAATTTATTTTTTTATTTTTGGGTATGCTGGGTCTTTGTTGCTGTGCTGGCTTTTCTCTAGTTTCAGAGAGTGGGGGCTACTCATTTCAGTGGCTTCTCCTGTTGTGGAGCAGGGGCTCTCGCATGTGCAGGTGTCAGTAGTTGTAGCACGTGGGCTCTAGTGCACAGGCTTAATAATAGTGGCATACAGGCTTAGTAGCTCCACAGCACATGGGATCCTCCCTGATCAGGGATTGAACCCGTGTCTCCTGTATTGGCAGGTAGATTCTTTACCAGCAAGTCACCAAGAAAGCTCCTCCACTTTTTCTGACTCCCTCTTAAGTGATGGTGTTCCTCAGAGTTCTAGGAATGTTTTATTCTCATTCTACAAACTGTTCCTGGATAATCTGATCCATCCCCATGGCTTCTACTGTCACGTGTATGCTGATGGTTTCCTAATCTATATCCCAAGTTGTATTAGGCTGGATAAGTTAAGTCAACTGAGGTAAGAAACTGCCCTGAAATCTCAGTAGTGTAATGTGGAAAAGTTTATTTCTTGCTCACACAGAATTCATTCTAGGTCCAGGTGACCCACCGGAGAAACTGTCCTCCTTATAGTGATTCAGTGATCCACTTTAGAGCTTTCAACCTTATCTTCTTATCACAAAACCTCTGTGATCACCCAGAAGGGGAAGGGATCAGAGGAGGTCTTCCTTCAGTAATTAAACACTTCAACTAAAAGGGAACTACATCAGTTTCATTCATAGCCCATTGGCCAGAGCTTATCACATGGCACTACTAAACTGTAAGTGAGGGTCTGTGCCAGGAGAGGAGGTCTGGTTCGGGGTGAGAACTAGTACTTTCTACCACACAGCTCTGGATCTTTCATGAGCCCCTGACCTGTGCATCCAACTACCCTCTTGACAGCTCTCGGTAGTACAATCCACAGGCACCCTAGGCTCAATGTGTTCAAAAGTAAGCTCATTATATATGTCCAATCCTACACTCACCTTCTTCTATATTCTCACCATTAATTGGTGTTTCAAGGCAGAAACCTGGGAGTTATCTTGAGCCCTCTCCCCCTTACCTTTCTCCCACAACTAGAAAAAGATTAGATTCATCACCTTTCTGCCCTGCCTCCTCTTCCCCAAGGCCAGTGTCTCTGATTAGATCATCCTGTTTCTCACTGGAACTCTGCCATTCTAAAGGACTCCCTGCCCCCTGTCTGGCCCGCACAAGTCCCTCCTACACTCTTGCCCAAACCAGAATGTGATCATGTTTCATCCTTCAGCAGTCTCTCCATTGTCTCCAAGGAAAGTCTGTTTAAGGTCCTTTATCATGTGACCTTGAGCTTCCTCTACAGTCTTTCTTGTTTCATTCCCGCACTGGAAAAAGATTCCACCCACTCTTAATCTCTGTAGCATCAGCAGTGATGAAATACTTGCATTTCGCTGAACATCACAAACATGACAAAGCATGTCTTTGCTCACATGGTCCCTCTGCCTGGAATACGCTTTCTTCCTCTGTCTGCCTAGAAAATGTGATTCATCTTTCAGGAAGCAACTCAAACATCATCTTCTCTATGATGTTTTTCTTGACACCCACTTCCCCTCATTGTGTGACCTTGAGACTTTTCTCTTGAGTCCCACTCCATCCTGTATGTCTGACACAGCTTATTTCCTTGTCTCTTTCTTTACCCACAGTTTATTTGATGTGATACAATCTTCCTTACAGGTCATGTTTGGAATTCACACAAGAATTCCAAAATCTTTAGTGATTCTTTATTAATACTTAAAATATACTTTTTGCTTGGATTTAAAAACCTCCACAGTATATCTCAATCTATCTACACAACTATTTTCTGTCTCACCCTTTACCAAGGCCTCTCTCTTGAGCCATGCTGATGTCCCAGAAATCCATCGCTCAAAGCCCAGCAAGCAATCCTGGGGCTGGGAACTTCCTCACACAGTCCCTTTCTTCTCCCCCAAGCATATTCCAGATCTCCCTGCTCACAGCCTTGCCTGATCCTGCATGCCCTGCCAGCTCTTCCCTTCTCCCAGGCCTGCGAGTTACTCTGCCCTCCTCCTGGAACTGTCTTCCCCAGACTCTCTGCCCAACCAGCTCGTTCCCATCCTCTGGTTCTCAGGGTAAATATCACTCCTTGGACAGGAATTCCCGGGTCATCCATTTTATCTAAAGACATCCTCCCATCACTGACTCTCCAGCATGGCACTCTGTTTCTTTCCTTCATGTCCCTGAACACAATCCGTAATCAATCTGTTATTTCCTCTTCTATTGTTACTCTTCTCAATTAGACAGTAGGCCTCATGAGCTTTCCTGCCTTCTCTCTAAAATACCCATAGCACATGGGCCATTGTGTCTATTGAATGTGTATACTTATTTTATGGGTAAATGTTTACAAGTAAATGATCCACCTTCCCTTTGAAGCAATCTCCATGCTTCATATATATATATGAAGTTTTTACTTATTTATTTATTTTGGCCCGTACTGGATCTTCACTGTTGCACACAGGCTATTTCTAGTTGTGTTGAGCAGGGGCGACTCCTCCTTGTGGTGTGTGTCCTTCTCGTTGTCGTGGCTTCCCTTGTTACAGAGCATGAGGCTCTAGTGCGTGTGAGCTTCAGTAGTTACTACAGCACTTGGGCTCAGTAATTGCAATTCTCAGACTCTAGAGTGCAGGCTCAGAAGTTGTGATGCACAAGTTTAGTTGCCACGCAGCATGTGGGATCTTCCCAACCCAAGGATCGAACCCCTGTCTCCTGTATTGGCTGGCAGATTGTCACTAAGCCCCTGGGGAAGCTGGCGATTTCCATAGTCTTAAAACACTTAAAGTCTGTCTAGTCCGCACTTAACACCATTTGCTTTTCATTTTTCTCTATCAACCTTCCTTCCTTGGCTGGAATAAACGAGATTATGACATGCTTGTGACAATGATAATGTCACACCCCCACTGTGGTCCCCACAACATCTGACATGGTAGTTCCATATTCAATACTTAATTAGAAATAAACTTGTCTTATCCCCCCAACGTTCTGGCATTCGCGTGTCAAAAGATATAAAAGTTCTCTGCTTGTGGAATGAAAAAAAAATAGAGTTTGCCACAAACAGGAAGTCAGCCCCGGAGTTTAGATAAGATCTTTGCGACACACAGCTTGATGGTGGCAGGGCCAGTGGCAGTAATCACTGTTTCATCATTCTGAGAAATCGGAACGATAGCAGAAGCAGCAAGTGAAAAGCTCCGTCTTAGACAATGACATCTTACAACCGGACTTTGTCTTAAAAGGTAAACACATTTACCCCGTTTTTTAATATAGGTGAAATAATCACCAAAACAAAAGGTTAATCTAATTTTTAGTGGTTTCAGTTACTTTTCTTAACCTTATCTGGTCGGGGAAAGGTTGTATGGGAATGGCTGCATTTAGTTGGTGGATTTTATGACAATCAGTGAGATTCTCCAATGCTGGACAAAATGTGAAAAAATATGTATATGGAGTGCTATTTCTATTTTATGTTTCTGTCAAATGTTTGGAGTGTTGTTTTCAAAGGGTGTAGTCTTCCTGTTTTTCTCGGCATGGATTTGTAACTAGCGTGGATTCATTAACTATTTCCCTGTTGCATCGTGTGAAGGTTTTGTCTTTCAGGATGGGGGTTACCCAGCTTTTGTTTTACGTGACTGTCCTAACATTTCTTTGGAGTGGTTGTAAACTCAGAACCACTCATGGGAAGGTTAAGATTTTATGGAAAACTATGATCCTCCCCTCCCCACCTCCCCAGTGGTATGGTCTAGTACAAATTCATAGGATAAATTCATACTATGATTAGTGCAAACACATATTTCAATATTTAAAAAATACTACATAAATATTTTACAGTACTCTGCAAAGAGCACTGTTGACTTTTTGTTTATTATCATTATGTTTAATTATGTTCCCTTTTATTTTTTTATTGGAATATAATTGCTTTACAATGTTGTGACAGTTTCTCCTGTACAACATGGCGAATCAGCAATATGTACACATATATCCCCTCCTTGATTATTGACTTTTAAATTAGAAAAGGAACAAAAAGTACTGGAAAAATTGTTACCCCTATGGATTCTGCTATGGAGATGGACTTGATAATTTTGCTGTTGTAACTCTACATGGCAATGAGGTGTCCTTCTCCAAATCTTTCCCTATGTCCAAGGACTCAGAAATTAATTCACGTTTGACAGGTGAATAATTAAGTACAAATGTCATTTATTGTCTAAATAAATAACTTTAAAATACAGTAGTTATAGCAGAATTAAAAATTCTTCTCATGGGTTTATCTAAGTATGTAGTAAAATTGTGGCCTCCTAAAATTGTTTGTTATTTTATTTTGTTTAAAGTGGAAATAATTTTTTATCTACAGGCAGGAAACGAGAAAAGCAAGCTATAGTACATAGTTACAACAGAAAGACCTATCACCACTCAGAGGCTGATAGAAATTTTCAGTGAAATAGAAAAATGTTTATGATGAAACACTTAGTAAGAAAAGAAAAAGAGATATGAAGAAGTATCTCAACTAGCTTTTAAAAGATGCATGGAAGTACAACAAAAAGGAAATACCCTAAAATATTAACAATGGGTAGTGGAAGTTTGAGTGGTTTTACTTTTCTGCTTTTAGGTACTCTATACTTTTTTGTATAAATAAATAAAAGAGGGGAAATACAGAAAGTTAAACATGAAAGAACCATAGCTTATATAAAGACATTGTCACACTTGAAAAGATAATATGTGAACAAAGCAGAAATTTCTGATGCAGGACTTCCAAGAGCAAGTTAGTTTGCCCAGCACTGCTAGGGAAGACGGAAGCCAATGCATCAGACCTACGTGACACTCAATATTAAAACCATCCGTTCTGCTTCTTTCATACTCCAATTTTATGTTTATCAAGAAAAATTATGGTTTTAATTGGATTTCTCATACATTTTGATGAAATGCACTAGCTATAAAAACATGTTTCTTATGTTATTCTAGTTCATACATTGGTCTCCTCTGAGCTGGTTGGTATGAGTCTGTTCTGGAACATTCAGCCAATTCTTGATGCCCTGATGAGATCAAATGTATGGACCTACAGAGCTGAGGCCTCCCTGCTGAACTGTTGCCCTCACGCTGTAAAGTTTGGGACCACTGACCTCACTAGAACATCCTCCCACCATTTGCCTCTCTCCTTCATTACAGCTCCAATATTAAGATCACAATCTCAGAACTGGCCTCTCTGCTGCCTCTCTTTTCCAAGGTTTCTAAGACGTATCTTTTTTTTTTTTTTAATTCTCAGGGGAAGGCAACATGGGAAACCACATGCCCAAACCTGAACCAAACCATAGTAAGTCTGCAACAGAACCCACTAATTGTCTCGATGTTAAGTTCAGATGGACTGGAATCACTGGACACTGCTGAAGGGTTGTCAGGGGATGGTATTTCTGAAGTTGGAAGAATCAGATGCAGGATCTAATGCCAAGAAGAGTGAAAATGGAAACCAGGGAGAACTATCTGATCCTCCAAATATGATTGAGAGTCTCTGTGCTCAACATTAGACCATCTTGGTAGTTTGTGAGAGCCTGGCTCCCTTCCCCTGAGTATGCGTGCTCATTCAGTCATGTCTGACTCTTGGCAACCCCATGGACTGTANAAAAAAAAAAACAGGCTCTAAGAAACAATGCTCCCTCCTCTTACAGAGCTGTAGCCCCATGGTTAGACTCCTCTGGTTGCTTGGATAATGGGGAGCACGTGGGGACCCTTGGGCTGGAGAAGATGTGGCTGATGCACTAATCCCCTTTGTACTCTTTCACAGAGGGACCAGGCACCCATCCCACCATAGTCTCGGCAGTGACCTCTGCACCCTGCCTCTCTGGCCACCCCAAGTAAGCAAGAAATGCCTCCCATTTCATCTCATACCACATGGCATTTGATTCTGTGTTGATCAGTTTGCCTTATGGACTTGGGGAGGGAGGTCTGGGGAGAAGGGACCAGAAACAGAAGAAATAAATCAGTATTTTACCTTCAGAGTGTGGCTCTTAACCTGGGGTCCCCCATGCCTCGAGAGACTCATGAAGCCCCTAAACTTATAAAATTTGCTATGTGCAGTTCTATGAACATTTTTAAGGGGGAATAGAGCCCGTAGCTTTTACTGACACCTCAAATGGATCTGGAACCTGAAAGCCAAAAGTTGAAAACTGGGGGGAGAGATTGCAAGTTGACTAACCAGGGTAAAAGCTATTTCAGGGGATTACCCATAGTTGGAAAAGGTTACCCTGTTGTCTTAAGGCCCTCATAAAGTCCCAAGGGTCATCGGCTCTCTTTCTTCACCACAACAGCAAAGAATATTTGGTCTTAGCCTTTTTTGCTGGGGTTATACTGACACTGCTGCTGATGGCCTTTGTCTTCCTCATCATAAAGAGCTGCAGAAAATGTAAGTCTCCAAGAGCTGTGACAGCCCTTCTTTCTCTGCCATTGAGGACAGAGGTAGCTTTGAGGGGAATAAAACAGACAGAGCCCGCACTCTCCACGGATCCAGGACTTGAACCCCTTCACTTCTCTCCCGGCCCTCTTCATCCTCCACCCTTCCCACCTCCAGCACCTCCCCCCTACCCTGCCCCTTCACCCAAGATTAAACAAAGAAGCTTTTAATTTCTCCAGGCCCCATGGCTTAGACTTGTTCCTCTTCTTCCTGGCACTTCCAGCAGGTCATTCCAGGCCCCAGACCCTGGATCCTCCTTCAGATCATCTAGCCAAGGTAAGACAGCCACTCTGTTTCCTGGGTATGGAGGCCTGATGCCATTGGACACTGGGCAACTGATTCTTCAAAGGGTTCTTCTGATCTCTTTGGGTCTTCTCTGACCCAAGCTTTCAAGTTCCTTTTAAATGTCACTTGCTTCTGAGAGACACCTTCCTCCAAATCGAACTGACTCATTCCTCCTCTTCCTTCCTCCTCGGCAGCTTTCATCCTCAGAGGAGGTACTTACCTATGCCAGCATGACTTTCAAAGCCCCCAGAGAAAACAGCAATCACCTGAACAAGAGTGTACAGACTGCTGTACACTCGGATCCTGTTGTCTATGCTCAGGTTAAAGTGACAAACTCACCTTGCCTCTCCAGTGAGGCTTGAGTCCAGTTCCTTTTATCTCAACTCCATCTTCATCCATCACTTTCCATTTTAACAAATTTTGGACTACGACCGGATGAAACCACAGCTGGAGCTGTCTGGGTGTGCTCGGACAATGCTAGTCACCAGTTTGAAGACCAAGGGTCAGTCTTTTCCTGGCCTGAGAGAAGATATGTGGCCCTCCCACTTGGACCAACAGACTGTTAGACCATTGAGAGCTGAGACTACCTCCCCTGTCACCTTCTAAAAAGTGTGATACAGAGCTCACAGCACTAAGTGTTTCCTTGGCATCACTGATCTACTTGGGAGGAGTCAACCAGATGAACAATCCAGGTTGGATGACAAATAAAAGCAAACTCTGCAATGCTGACCCCTTCTCCACCATTGATGTGTCTTTACCCATCTCCTCTAGAGGTGCAGAGCTCATCCACAGCCAGAAAAGCCTAATGAAAGGGGTGGTACTCTGGAACTAACTCAGGATTGATTGGGGTACAAGTCCCAAACTCTACCACTGACTAACGTCCTTCACTCATTAGGGCAAGTATGCTAAACTTTTGAAGCTTCAATTTCCTCATCTTGAAAACAGGATAACATATCTCCTAGTATAAAAATAAATGAGATATCATTAAGTACTCTATACATCCCAGAGCACTACACAAAAGAAGGTCCCTGTTGGATAAAGCACTATTCAAATGAGGATGTCCATCTCCTTGCTACAGCATGAGAGATATGCATAACAACAGCATAGGGGAACTAAAAATGGATCTAAATGTTAGCCCCCTCCCCCGCCAAATTCCAGTGGGTGACCCCACAGATGGTCCTAGTAAAAATGTCAATAAGAGTACTTTTTACTAGGTAAGGTTATTCTAAATTTTCTTTGTCAGCCATAAACAAGAAAGACCATTCATAAAAATAAGCAAATAAAAGTAAGATGGGAAGTCTGACCTGAACAGCTAACTGAAAGTACTGTTTTATTAAGAATGGCTAACTTGCCTGGTGGCTCAAACAGTAGAGTGTCTGCCTGCAATGCGGGAGAACCAGGTTCCATCCCTGGGTCAGGAAGATCCCCTGGAGAAGGAAATGGCAACCCACTCCAGTACTCTTGCCTGGAAAATTCCATGGATGGAGGAGCCTGGTAGGCTACAGTCCATGGGGTCACAAAGAGTCAGACACGACTGAGCGAACTCACTTCACTTCACTTCAATGGTTTATGAATGAAAAAATAAAGGGATAAAATAGAAAGACCAGAAATAGACCAAGAATACAAGAGGAAATTTAGAGTATGATGAAGTTGGTATATCAAATCATTTAGGGAAAATTAGTTTATTCATAAGTGGTGTTGAGAAAATTAGGTAGTCATGAAGATGAAAATAAGATCAGATCTATATCTTACTCCATTTTTCAAAATTCCAGATATGTCAAAACTTTAACTAAAAAAATCATAAAAGTACTAGAAGTAAATATGACAGAACTTTGAAACCAACAGAGTGAAGTATGCCTTTGAATACATGAAGCATGGTCAATAAAACAGAAAGGACTGATTAACTTGACTTACAAAGAACCATTCAGAAGACAAATGGCAAGCTGGAAAAATACTTACAGAGCACCTCATAGACAAAGGGCTGATTTTCTCAACATATATGAGCTCCTATAAATCAATAAGGAAAAAAATTAACTCAATAGAAAAGTAAAAGAACAGATAAGGTTAGGCTACTAGCAGAAAAGGAAATATAAATGGCTTCAAACATATGAAGAGATACTCAACTTTACTCTTTATTTAAGATAAATCATAATTAGAACTATAATTAGATAATAAGTTCCATCAGTAAGATCCACAAAATTCAAAAGTTTGCTAACGAACTGGACAAGATTGTGGGGAACTAAAACACATATATACTACTCATGGCAGGGTGAGTTGATACAACTACTATGAAAGGCATTTTGGCAACAGCCAACAACATTTTAAATTCTATATCAAAGACTGTGTCCTACTTAAACCTTTGGAAGTCACCTATGTCATTTGAATTGCAGCATTCATCAAATAGACTAAAACTAAGTGAGGATTGTTATACTCTAAACACTATTCTGAGTGCTCGGCATGTGTTCATGGAATCCCCACAAAGCACCAGGAGGTTGCAGCAGTTATTCTCATTTTTGGTACAGAAATGGAGGCACAAAGAGGTCAAACAACTTGCCTGAGCTCACAGTTACACACGAATACTGAGTTCATACCTGTATTTACGTATGTTTAGTCTCTCTCTGGAAGAAACATCATTCATGGTTTTCGTAATTGCTATTTTCTGGGGAGGGGAACCTGATAACTGAGGGACTGAGGGGCAGAGATGGGAGGAAGTATGTTTTCCTTTAAAAACCCTTTTTTGTAACTTTTGAAGTCCTTCATTTACCTTGTTGAGGATTTTCAGGGAGCCTTATACCTAGTGTTCCCATTCCCCACCTGAATTCTAGACCAAGTGGGAAATAAGAGGACTCGCCAGATAGAGATCAAAGCAGCATCTTTATTACAAACATAGGAAAATATAAGCATAAACCCATAGCTGCAGAACCCGGAACTCCATGCAATAAGGCAAGTCCCTGCCCCTCCCCACAACCCAAACGGCAACTCAGCTGTCCCCAGGAGTTTCGAAAAATACCGTGTGCTCTTGAAATCTGCACCCAAGGGATTAAAAAAAGGAAGGGGAAGGGCAGAGTAGTCACTTCTGGTTCCTACCCCCAGACTCACTCATTAGACAGATCCTCAGCCTCTGCCGGGGCGTCCCTCATTAAGGAGTGCCCACCAACGGTGCTCAGTCCACGGGGAGGAAAGCTTTACCCACAAACCTCTCTTAAAAATACATTAAGTAATATTTTTGAGAACCAAGGGAAGAAAATTAAGGTTCAAAGAGATGAAATAATTTACCCAGTGTCTCCCTGCTAGTAAGCGGCAGAACAAAATTTAAGTCAAGTCCTCTGACTTCAAATTCTTTGCATCTGGCCCCCACCGCAAGCTGTCCCAGAGCCCATACAGTGGCAGAGAAACTAGAAAGGCCAAGTTAGATGATCTATTCGAGATGGAAAGCTGCTCCTGAAAGCTGGATTTTGAGGGGAAGACGGAGGAAGAGAGAGTTGATAAAGCAAGGGCTCCCTCTGTATAGAGCCGGTTTGGGGAAATAGTCTTGGGAAGCGATAGCAGTGCCACAGCGCAGTCGGCCGCACGAGGGCAGCAGAGCGCCAGGAATGCCCTTGTCCCCCGCGCTGGCTGTGGGATGTGTTGGTAGGATAGGACTCGTTTCAGCTGAAACTCTGAGCAGACTTCAAACAATTCTACCAACCCTGAAGTTAGAACCACATCAGCTTTCCAGTTCAGGGCCAGTACCTTATGAACAGCTTGCAAGAAGATGCATAACCATCGTCCTATGGCCACCCAATACATGAAACATCAGATTAATTCCTCTTCCCTGTTTTATTGAAACTTCCTATTTTTAACAGCACAACCCTCCATTTACAAAGTCATGATTTTTTTGTGTCCCTATCATGAAAAGTGGCACACAACTAGCCTTGCTGAAAGATGAAATGAGTAAATAATTGACTGCGGATTCAACATGTCTTTGGTACTCAAGGGAAGAAAACAGGCTGTGGACCCAACTGTGGAACCAGAACCAACCTGTAGGATTCCCAAAAGAAATAGGTTTCCAGATAGGTAAGTGTGCATCTTCCAAGATGTCTATGGATGTCTTCATCTGTCGTGGAAAACTGATGTCTGCTCTCTTGCCTTGTGTAGCAGAATGTCCTAACCCACCCAGCCAAGGAGGGATTGCTGTTTGCAAAACCGGTGGGCTAGTGGCTTCTTTATACAAACTCAACTCATGGCCACAGGAGAAGGATTAGGATTGTTTAGTGGCTGAGGGAAAACACAGCACTTCTGATGTTTGATCTGGGACTGGGGAAGGAAGGGGACTGGCTGAGTGGGCATACAGAGGATGGTAGGAATGGGGTCCCCCTCCCTGCTCTTCCCATCAGCCTGATTGTTGAGTAGCTTTGGGTTCCCTACCTATGCAGAGAGGGCTGAGGGCTGAAGGAACTGTGTTCCTAAAAGACTCTGTAAGAGCCTGGACCTAAACGTGCAGATGTGTATAGAACCCTATCCCAGGCCTGCCCAGACCGGACGCCACTGAGTCTCCTGAGCATGGAGACTGGCCAAAACCCTCTCAGGAGGGACTGGAAGAGCAGGGTTTTTATGAGGGCAGCAGAAGCAGTGCGGGAGATTCCAGGGTCTGAAATGCAGGAGACACACTCTAGGGGGAGAGGGGTGTAGACGTGCAGGTGGAAGCTAAGAGTGTAGGGAATCCTGGCATTCGTGACAGTATCACCTCACTTGCACCCACAACTACTGATGCCCTCATCTCAATTTGTTTCCTGATGTGAATCAATATTTCTCTTAACTTATCACACTTTGGTTTCTTACTGATGAGAGGTAGTGTCCATTCAGCCTGGTCGCAGTTTCCCAAACTGATGGCAGTTTCCCAGTTCTTGAGCCAAGAGACTCTGAGAACCTCTGATGTAGCCTCTCCCCCCTTCTTTGGGTAGAACAGCATGAAATACTAATTCAGAAGTAAACTGGAATATTATACTTTAAAACAAACTTTTCTAGAAATACTTTCCCAGTGAAATCCTGAGAGAAGTTAGTCATACCTTGAAGTTCATTCAACACTGGGTCAGAAATTTATTGGCTAAGGAATACAGCAGAAGTGATCTCCTGGCCCCGTGATCGAGATCTGGCCCTCTTCTTCACTTTTGACTAGCTGACTGCGTGAGAACTAAGATCTTGAGATGTTATCTGACTGTGGCCTTGCTCAAGAGTGGCCAAGCAACCCCCTGACTGCCTCTGTTCTTCCCTATCTGCAAATGATCGTTGGCGAGGTTAGAGGGGCCTTCACAACACCTGAGATCAGAATCCGTCCCCAAGTTGTGGGCCAGTTGTCATGGTGATTCTATTGTAGCATCATTTTATTTATGAACTTAATCAAAGAAATCTTCAGCCCCATCTGTTCAGTATGAGCCATTGCCTTTGGAGTCAGGACACGTGGAAGGGACTTCAAAGAGCTGTCTACTTTGTTGGAAATAGAAAAGGAGAATTGAATTGAGATTTATTGCCTACCTCTGCCGGGTGTTTCTGCAGCAAAAATGGCAAACTCTGTCATAAGGGCTTCACAGGGTCCCAACACCAAAGTTTGTTTTCAGAGAGAAAATCAGATGTCATGATTTAAAGGTTATTAGCCAGTTAGCAGCAAAGCTTGGTGCATGGGGCCTGCGTTCAACTCTCACCAAGCTCTGGTGACACGAATGCAGCTGACCTTTAGAGCCCAGAAGG